GCTCTCATCCCCTCCCAATAAAACAAAGATGATATCCTCTTCATAGTCTTGAAATTTCCAGCATGTCCCCCTATGGCAGACTCATGAAATTCCTTGAAGATGCTGTGAATCCTTGCTGAGTGTTTAGGAATTACCAATCTGCCCTTGAAATAGAGAAGTCCTTGTTTGAGGATGAAATTAGGAATGGAGTCTGGCTCAACCCCTAATTTCTGAATCATATACTTATATTTGCTATCCTCCATCAGCTCACACTCCAAACCTTCCCATTCTTGGCAGGTTACCACAGACAGGGAATACAGATTACCCTTTCTAGATAATGCATCCGCAGCCTTGTTTTGCACCCCAGGCTTGTACTTGATGACAAAGTTATACCCTAACAGTTTGGTCACCCATTTCTGCTGGTCCACCCCCAGAATTCTTTGCTCAGTCAAGAACCTTAGACTCTTCTGATCAGTGTGCACCTCAAAGGTCCTTCCCAATAGATATGGCCTCCATTTTTGAATAGCCAAAACTATAGCCATCAACTCCCTCTCATAAACAGACTTACTTTGATTTCTGAGAGATAGAGTTTTACTCATATAAGCCACAGGTCTGCCCTCCTGCATTAAGACAGCACCTACTCCTTTTCATGAAGCATCAGACTCTATTACAAAAGTCTGATTAAAATCTGGAATTTTCAGCACTGGTAGTTGAGTCATTCTCCTTTTCAGATCTTCAAAAGCCTGCTGAGCCTCAGGGTTCCACTTGAACCCATCCTTCTTAAGCAAATCATTCAAAGGAGCTACAATCTTCCCATACCCTTTTACAAATTTTCTGTAATAACCAGTGAGACCCAGAAATCCCCTTAAACTTTTAGCATCTGTTGGGTACTGCCAGCTGATCATATCTTCAATCTTGCTAGGATCTGCTGCAACTCCCTCCTTTGATATAATGTGCCCCAAATACCCCAACTGCCTTTGCCCAAAAGAACACTTTTTCTCATTAAGCACTAACTGATTGGATTGTATCAGCTGTAACACCTTCTGTATATGTTCCCAATGCTCTTCCTCTGTGTGGCTTTATATGAGTATGTCATCAAAGAACACCAATGTGAATTTCCTCAGGTAAGGCTTCAGTACTTGGTTCATTAAACTCTGGAAGGTAGAGGGGGCATTGGTAAGCCCAAAAGACATGACCAAGTACTCATAGTGACCTTCATGAGTCCTTATAGCTGTCTTATGGATGTCCTCCTCTTTCATTCTAATTTGATGGTAACCAGACTTGAGGTCCAATTTAGAAAAGATCTGTGCATTGTTCAACTCATCCAATAACTCCTCTATAATGGGAATAGGGAACTTATTAGGGACTGTAATCTGGTTCAGGGCCCTGTAATCTCCACAGAATCTCCATCCTCCATCTTTCTTCTTTACCATCAAAACTGGACTACTGTAGGGGCTGGTGCTGGTTCTGATGAGACCACCATTCAACAATTCCTGTATTACTTTCTCCATCTCATTCTTCAGGTATTGAGGGTATCTATAGGGTCTAATGTTGGGTATATTGGCTCCTTCCTTAATCACAATAGTATGGTCACAATCTCTTCTAGGAGGTAGACCCTCCAAGGCTTTGAAAACTTCAAGACCTTCTGCTTTGATCCTCTGAATCCACCCCAAACTGACTTGGTTATCTTCATTTATTTTAACCTCAGTTTGATGAAGGCAGTACTCTTGTTCATCCTTGAATGCCCTCTTGGTCAAGCTTTTCCAAGATACTTCAGTCTTGCTCACTTTTGGATCTCCCATCACACATCTCAACTGACCATCTTGGACCCATTTCAAAGACAGGTTATGGAAATTGAATTCCACATTTCCCAACCCTGCTAGCCAATCCATTCCCAAAACCATCTCAGTGTCTCCCAACTCCAAAATGTAGAAATCTTGAGTTATAACTAGCTGCTGCAACTTTACAGTGACGGCTTCACACCTTCCATTGTTTCTAATGAGGTCCCCATTCCCTATTTCCACTTTAAACTCAGGAATTTGAATAATAGGGATTCCCACTTCCTTTACCACTCTGGGAGATAGGAAATTGTGAGTGGCCCCACAATCTATAAGGATTACTATCTCCTTACTTCCTCTGAGTCCCTGCACTTCTCCCTTGACCTTGAAAGTCCTGGGAGTGGTCATCCCCTCTTTGCTCATCAATGATAGCTGCATGGTTGAAGGTTCAGGTCCTTCCTCTTCAGGTATGGGTGCCAAATAATTGTCTCCTGCCTCCTCTTCCCCCTCAGAATCATCTATCATCACAATTTGGAAATGCTTCATCTTACAGATGTGTCCCTTGCCCCAAGTCTCCCCACATTTGAAACAAAGGCCTTTTCTGCTTAATTCCTGAAGCTCAGCTTGAGATAGCCTGTGAGTGCCTCTTACTCCCACTCCACTGTTTCCGGTCTCATTTTTCTTTTCTGCATGATATTTCTCAAACCCTGGTTGACTGGTCACTGTACTCTTCCATTTGCTCTCACTCAACCACCTTTGAGGAGGATTGGTAACAGTCCCCTTGTTTACTCTCCTATCATCTTCCCTGTGCCTGCTGGAACAGAGGATAGCATTACTCTCTTCTACCCTCGAAGCCTTATTCATGACTTCTGCCAGTGTTCTAACAGGATTCTTCTTCAATTCAGCTTTAACCTCAGGCTTCAATCCTTTCATAAAAATCCCCTTAAGCATTTGCACGTCAGTGTTTTTCAAAGGTGCTGACACCAATTCAAACTCATCTCTGTACTCCATCACACTTCCAGTCTGCCTGAGATTTAATAATGGACCATATGGATCCTGATCCAATCCTGGTTCAAATCTCTCCAACAGAGCCCCTTTAAACAATTCCCAGGTTCTGACATTCGAGTGCTCCTCCCACCAGTGATACCAGTTTAAAGCCCTTCCCTCCATGGCCAGAGTTACTAGATCAACCTTCTCCTCCTCATCAATTTGATTCAATTTAAAAAAACGCTCCACCTTAATAGTCCAACCATATGCATCAGTGCCATTAAATAAAGGTAAATCAACTTTTCTTCCAGATTTCTCCATCCAACTACGTCGGTTATCAATCGGTTTGGAGGAAGGGGATCGATGACTACCTGAGATTGAACGTGAGTCACTGCTTCCATGTCTAGTACTCGCCTTAGAGTGCGATGATCGTTCGCGGGAATGATGGCGATGTTTATGTCTCAGCAGCTCGCGAATGTCATCGAGGTCACTTTTGACTTCCTCGCTCCTCCTCCTGGCTTCCTCGCGAGCCTCCTCATCCCTTAGCCTGGCCTCTTCGCGGTGCCTTGCCAGCTCGCGCTCAATCTCTGCAGATTGTCGCGCCAATTCTCGCTCCAAGTTTTCCACTCGGTCATTCATTTTTCTTCTCGCCGCCACCATAAACAGGTCCTCTGATCGTCAGCTCTGATACCAATGATAGGGAATCAGACCTGCGAACAATAATCTAGCAGCAGAATTGGAGAAAAAAGGACAATGAACAGTAATGGAGGAAGATCGTATAACAAACAAGAGAGAGAAATAGTGTCTGGCAGTTTTAAGAGATGCCTCTCTCCAAGTCCCAGCCCAATACAAGCCAATACCAGCCTGCCAATTATTACAAGGACCTAGCTATTTATAGTAATATTCCCCCCATCCGATAACTAGTAACATATAGCTACTTATTATGACCCTTATTCCTCCTTGAGTATACATGATCAAAATACTTAATATTATTATCAAAATAGGACTGGCTCCCAGCATCCCTATCAATCAGTAACCTTGTGAGCAAATCTAGGATTGAATGAAGAAACTATTTGGTTTGCTAATTATTTTCCCAGCAATTTCTCACTTTTAGTTATCCCGGAAGGTAAACTCCAGTGAGGGACAAGAACCTGTGTATTTTAATAATGATATATTTTTCTACAAAGTCTAGTATGGGCCATACCATAGTACCACCCAAGTCATAAAAGTAAGCCAATCTAAATCTGGATACTAAAATGCAAGTTGAGGGAGTCTTTAGCAGCAAGATCATCAGCAACTTGATTTCCCTGTGTATACATGTTTAATAGCGCTCTTGAGAGTGCCTTAGTAAGGTGAGTTTCTTCAAGCGTCGTCCATATTCTCCATGGGAGAGTAGTGTTGTCCAAGCAGATACCGCCTAAGGTTTTGGACTCAACTTCTACTATGATGATATTGGAGTCAACTCATTCACATATCTTTAAGGGTAATTGGGGTTCAATCATGATATCACCAATGCTCCCATGATACCTCCAAATTTCCAGATTTTATGGGCATCATAAAAGACAATGATCAATGGGGAGGAGCGAGTGCAACAGAAAGGGCATCTCAATGGGTGGTTAAAGCCTTATTTTCACAGAAATTCTGGGGAAGGATTTTTTGAAGACTTTCCATGTAAGAAAGCAGTCTGTTAGGAGACATGCTCATTATTAGCCCAGCAAATTTGGGGAAGATAAGATTGTTGCATTGGTGGAGTGAGTGCAGACATGCTTATTATTAGCCCAGCAAATTTTAAGAGGTGCTTTCTTTGGTGTAGTGAAATTGACCAAATTAGGCTGCTTCTGAGATCTAAAAATTTGGATAGCAATTCAGCCTCCAATGACCAAGATGACCCCCTCTGTTTGACTCCTCTTATGGCCTTGAAGAAGAGCCTTCCCTGTTACCATTAATGATTACCGAATATACCGGACATTGGACATATCATAAAAATCATTCAGAAAAGCCAAGTTGCCTCTGCACATTCTCTGTTGATAAAAGATCACCCGTTATAGGTTTTGGCCATATCTAATATTTGGATAATGTGTTTGTTGCCCTGACTAGTTCATGAATCAAAAGACTATCTCATCTATGGATCACCCCTGTGATATTATTACTGTTGAAGTTACACAAACAAACTTATGACCTGTTTAATTGTTGACCAGTTGTATGCTTGACTGTCAGTATTCAAACTGTGAGGTGTTGTGTTGTTTCAAAGCACAGGTGGCAGACTATGGGCTTGTAGGAGACCTTTTTGAAGTCATACCAGAGTTGTTAGAGAGGCTTCCCGAGAAGAAGTAGAAGCCAAATGTATTCATTAGAAAGACTGGCACAGTGATTATTGTAGTAGACGACGAAACTCTCATCTCCTCTTTTCCTTCCCTGCTTTTGTGCAACTACGGCCTCCCTTTTCCTTTCCTGCTTTTGTGGTCAGATGGTTCATTTGTTTATTCACTAGGTGGACGTGGATCACGGTGAGTGGAGAAACACGTATTTGCTCTCTTATGAAGAACTGATATATATGCCCAAATTATTTATTCACCATTAAATAGGGTTGAGATTCTTTTTCTTTTTGGGGTGTAAATTCTTAGTAGTATATATATTTCCTGATTATATATGCAGATACTAGGCATACTTCTCCGTTGATAAAAATAACTCTTATACCCTCATTTTAGCAGTTATTTAAACTATTTAAAATATATATTTTAATTGGAGCGCTTTTAGATGCTCCAGTTCGATTAGCCAAATTAGCTTTTAAGTTTTAACCATAAGTCCATAAGAATATCATTAGAAATTGTAATACTATGACCTTTCAATGGACAAAAACAAGACTTGATTTTAACTTGGATAAAAGAGACAATATCAGTAAATGGACTAAAAGACCCTTGATAATTATCCCTACAGGTCTGCAATTCTGCATCGCTTCTCTCAAGCAATTGCGACTTCTCCCTATTTGGATCCTCTACCCCTGCAAACTTATTGACGCACATCACGTCATCACCATCGACATATATTGATGTGAGCTTCTATGAGGATGAAAGCTTTGACAATGACGAGCTTCGAAGCTCCTTTTCTCTTGATCCAATTGTGAGCTTCGAAGTCAGCAATTAGTTCTATTCTTCTCCTTTCCCTTCTTCAAATCATGTTGTTGATGAACCAGCTACGGCCCACGACAACCGGTTCTATTCTTCTCCTTTCTCTTTTTCAAATCATGTTGATGAGCCAACCGTCTTGATGAACCAGCAAACCCCACGAGCTCTATTGATCTAAATCCATAGTAATTACAAGAGCTTATGAATATTCTCCACTTTGACGACCATTGGTAAGGAACTATGTGTAACATGGATTCAGTTTCACCACCCATCAGACTAAAATGAGGGGTAACTAAATGAGAATTTCTTAAAGAAAAGCAAAAAATAATTCAAGCATTTCGGTTTTATCAAGCGCTTTTTCCTTGAATATTACTAATTTAAAGTCAATTTGCAAAAATGTGATCATTTTTCCATAAGGACAAAAAAGTGACTAAGAAAGTCATATATTTGGAAAATCATGATGTCACTGTCAAATTTTTATGCAACTGTCAAATTTTATGTCACTATTAGTTTTTATATCACTTTTTGAAGGTCACTATCAATTTTCGAGTCACTTTCGGATGTCACTGCATTCGTGAAACGTGTCACTGTAATCGCTGGATAATTTTCTGGTGACTTTTTTCGGCACAACAGTGTCCATCCCACACCCCACCAACCACCGTTACTTCTGTCTTTGGTAAACCACCCTGCCCATCCCCACGCCCCAGCACCCCAAAACCCCAGTGGGCAGTGACTACCATCCGGACGAATGCCACCGGGAAAGCAGAAGAGGTTTGCCAGCCACCTCCAAAGAAAGCATCCGATTTTACCATTCACCGAGAAGGGAAAAGAGCTTTGACCAGCCATCTCAAAAGGAAGCATCTCGTTTGCAGGACCTGTCAGTCCTCCAAATGTGTTGTAGCACCGGGAGCACTTTCACAGAGCCGTTTTTTGACCCGTCCCGATCAACCCCCATATGGACTTGAACGTCCACCAAATTCTACAAATCCACAACTCTTCTTTTATTAAATTCTACTTCCTTCAAGACTTTAATTTGATCTGGTTCCTCCTCAACACCCATCTTTTTTTTCCCTTTGAAGTAAGTCCCTGGACTAAGTAAGTCAAAAAGAAGTTGTGAAGTTCTTATTTGTCAGCTGAGTTCTATGGTCTCACTTTGAAATAATTCCAAATATATAATCAAAAATTAAAGTAGTAGACAAAAATGTGACCCTGATAACTTTAGTGACTATAATTGTGTTTAAAGGTTATATCATAGTGACTATACCACTTACACAATAATTTATAGTCACAATTTTTTTTTATAGATTTTGTATTGGTAATATTTTGTTTCTTTTTTAAGACAAATATTTTTGCAACATGATTTTGGCATTTGTTGTCATGTAATTGTTGATTTTTATCTCACTAGGATTAATTCTCGTAACAATGACAAGCCTTTGATTTATTTTGTTTCTGTTTAATTCGGAAGCGTATATCAGACAGCCGGCTGTACGGCTGGCACCGTACAACCGGTGGCAATTTTGTAATTTTAGTGAAAATCATGGCTTCTCATAAATGAGGATTTATGCAATTCTGATGAGCATCGAGTCTGTTCTTTTGAGTATTAGGAGTCCAACAATGAGCACCAATGATCTCTGCTTGATATCTTTTAATTCGGTTTCTTTTTATTATTTTTTCATTGATAAAAAATTCTTAAATTATGTTTATAATCAATTTCAATATGTGAATATAATGTAGTATGATACATTTGAAATGTGAAACATTTCAAAATGAGCATAAAACAGTATCAAATGAGCATACATAACTTACGAAATGAGTATGAAAAAATTCAAAAGCTCATTTGTGTACGCGCATTCATTTTGGGCGTTATACTCATTTGAGTTTAACATAAAACTCATTTCCAATACGCTCAATATTAATTTGTGTGTGTTCATTTCTTTTAAGCGTGTACTCATTTGAGTTTAATATAAAACTCATTTGAGATCAATAGCAATACGGATTCGTAAGCAACCAAGTAGACTCCCTTTGTCTCCGAAAATCACAAGTTCAAACAATAAATCTGCGTGAGAAAAGAGAAAAAGAGTGGAAAGAAAGATAGAGTAGGAGAGGTAACTACGCCGGAGCCGCTGCGTTTGTGCCGGAGGAGAAGGGGCGAGTGGTGAGAAACGAAAACCAGCAGCGAGCTGAAAGAGATTAGCAGGGGGTGAACGTCGACGACAGTTAACTTGGTGCGAAATCAAATCGAAGAAGCAAGCTAAATGGGAGAAGTTTGGTGCGAAGCTTTGAGCGAAGGCAGAACGCAGAAGCCTGATGCAAAGGCCAGGTTGAAGAAGCGCAACAACCAAGAAAAGCCCGTCTGTACCGTGTGCACGGTACAACCGGCTGTACGCCTGTACCATGTATTTTACCGTTTAATTCTAACATATTACGTGCTCACTTTGAAATGCAACAATGATGAACATCTTTTAATTGCCAATCTTTTATTTCTTTGAGATGATTTTTTTTAAATAGTCATCGTTAGACTAACGACGACTATAGTGGATTATGACTAGGTAATACCGAGTACAATACAGAGTATATATCGAGCACTCGAGCATAGTTATGTGTGATATCTAATACGAGAATATTTCCATTTTGCAAATCTGATTTAACAATTCCTCTAAATATTTTTTCGGTGCAACGCGGAGTCAAATGCTTGTAAATGGTAAAGAAAAACACAGCTCTGTCAAAACATGAAGCTATGTTGTTAATTGAACTAAAATTTTCTATTCTACCTTGGCCTAGGTTGTTTAACTCTAATCTGGTCTAATCTGAATTGATAATATCTATTCCATGTGTATTTTATAAATATTGAAATCTGATCCCATCTATCATATTTAAATCTGATCTGATTTACTTAAATCTAATCTAGACCAAGAGTAAAACCGGTAAAACATCCCAAGTTCTAATTAGATGTTCTCTTAGCGAGTAGAGGTGCAAAACGGGTGGATAAGATAAAAAACGTTAGATGAGAAGGGCAGATATGTCCAAAGAATCAAAGATGCCTGAGAATATTACTGGTTATTACATGGGTGATGGGTAACCAATAAAACAGTTGCAGTTGATTGTCAAAAACACAATGTATTGATTTGATGAGAAACTGCGATCGTTGGGTTGGTATTCATTGGTTAAATTTCCTTAATATGAACTATTAAAAGCAAAAAGAGAAATAAAGCAAACAAGTAAAATAAAAGGGAAATTTTAGAATATCACTCTGATCTTAAATAAAGTTCAATGTTTAACTTCACACAAATTAAAGAAATAAATTTGACTTTACTGTAAAGTACACTGTTTTGACACTGTTTGACATTATTTTACACTGTTTTGATGTAGATAATTTGCCAAATAAGGAAGGGAGAAGAAGTGTGAACTTTATTTTGGACCGACCCAAAAAGGAAAGTGTGAACTTTATTTATATAAAAAATAAATATCGTACATACTAGTATACTACGTACCAGGTAAAATGATCATTCTTATACAAGTAACAAAGCAATGGAACGGAAATTTTATTCAATTACATTATGTTTTGCATCTCATAATAACACAACCGCTTACCATCGCACCAGCTACCAAACGTAACCTAGGAGTGGACTCGGGGCGGGCCAACCGGCCCGGAACCAGACCGGCCCACTACTATGCGGGCCCAGACCGGCCCGGTGAACCGGTTGGTGCCCAGTTCGGGCCAGGGCCTGCTAAATAGTGAACCGGCCCGGCCGGTTTGGGCCCGGTCCGAGCCTTTTTTTATATATTTTTTTTAAGTTTTTTGATTGGGCTGGGTATGATGGGCCATTTGAGGTAGTTTGGGGTGGTTTGGGGGTGAGGGGGGAGGGTTGGGGGTTAATTAGGAAAAGCCAAAAAAAAAAATACATGAACCAAGGCCCGGCCCGGACTTGATCCGGGGGTTACTCGGGCCGGTTCCGAGCCTCCCCTTTCATGAACCGAGGCCCGGCCGGGCCCAGGCCCGAACCGGAACCGGTCCACCCCTAACGTAACCTAAACATGAAATATCATGCAAATCTATAGCCGCCACAATGGAAAAGAGATATACTCTTGAAATAAAATTTCTATTACGAGTTCTCAAAATAACACATCCCCGTGTCAAACATCCACAACAAAATAAAAATAAATACCCTCAAAGCTTCAAATATTTGATAGCAGTTTGAACATCCTTATCCCCTCTGCCACTGCAGTTTAGCACAACCTTAGTGCCATCTGGTAGAGTCGGGCACAGTTTCTCCAAGTAAGCCAGCGCATGTGATGTCTCCAGAGCAGGAATAATGCCCTCTAACCGGGATAATCTTGTAAATGCTGCATATATATACAACCATATTAACTATGAGCTTCATAACACACAATATGAGATTGGTAAATGTACTCACCTTCTAAAGCCTCTTCATCAGTTATGCTATAATATTCAGCTCGTTTGATGTCCTTAAGAAAGCTATGCTCAGGCCCGACTCCGGGATAATCCAACCTAATAATCCATGAGGAAAGAAAAACGACAAGACATGATAGTTTGTATTTAGGCTCTGTTCAGAGGAAACTAGTTTCCTACAAACGATAGTCCTGTGTTTAACACATGAAACCACATCCCAGAAAAGATATAGGTTCCCCATGTGTTTGCCACCAGAAAACGAAAACATTTTCCTCAATTCTTTAGGTTATGTTGAGCTGCAGAAAATGGCATGTTTTGATATTTAGGTTTCTTGGCCTTTACGAAATAGAAATATAGAAATGAAATGATTTTAACATTACCAAAGATTGATTCATTAAATTCTTTCCCTCAAGTTTTTTTCCTTCGAAATTCCCCCATCAGTTTCTTTTCCTAGCATTTTATTTTTTCATAGTTCCGAACAGGCCCTTAACCTTTACTCCTTTAGTAGAAAATGACTCCGCATTATGAGATCAGGAAGTCTTGTTTTACTAAAACAGTTTCATGTTTTCTATATTTGCAGGTCAAACATTGTATCATGATGCACTGCAAAACTAAACTTATATTTTCAGGAAAACATTTATCCTTCCACAGTATTCTAGGAAAACACAAGGAACCTTAGTAGGTCAGATATAGGTATTTTAAGGTTTGTTACCCAGCACTTATGGAATGGGGCTCAACTATCTGCCCATCATCATCTTGAAGCAGATAGCTCATAGCTCCATGTAGCACACCAACCTCTCCCTTTGTTAGAGTAGCAGCATGTTTACCACTGTCCAGACCAAAGCCCGCAGCCTCCACCCCAATCAATCTCACGTCTTTGTCATCAACAAACTCATGAAACAGACCCATAGCATTTGACCCTCCACCAACACACGCAACAAGCACGTCAGGGTTCCTGCCCCACTTCTCCAATGCTTGTTTCCTTGTTTCTTTACCAATCACTGCATGGAAGTTTCTAACCATCATTGGGTACGGGTGGGGCCCAGCAACAGATCCCAAGATGTAATGAGTTGTTTCGACATTGGTTACCCAATCCCGGATAGCTTCTGATGTGGCATCCTTAAGTGTTGCTGTTCCAGAATGGACAGGTCTAACCTGCACAAATTACAGATGTGAGGTTGATGCATATGCACACATAGTGTGTGCGGTGCCCGGGGGAGCAATTCAACATGTTCAAATCTGCAATAAATAAAGATGAAAACTTTTATGTATTCATGGAACATGCTACGTATACTTTTAAAAACAATGGAGGACAGTGCAGTGTTGGGGAGTGTTAAACTGGTAGTAATGCATCCAAATTGGAATCTCACGGGCTGTGGTTTAACTCAAACTTTACCTTTTTTAATTTAAAGAAAACACATATTTTATTAAAATAGAAGGATACAGGGGGGCGAAACCAATACCTCTCCACGAAGGATTCCCTTCAGAGCAAACAACAATGGTTTAATTGGTTTTAAAACCAAAGATTTAACACAAAACAAAAGCCTGAATAAAACCCATTTAGGGATTTATTTATACAGGATAGCAACCGATAAGCTATGACTTAATAAGCAGATTAAAGAAAATCCAGTAGGCAATCAATATGAGATACTAGACGTTAGTAATTAGGTAATAAGAAATCCAAAGTCCACATACCAAGTTGCTTCATGCCCTATACAAAAGAAAGAACTCAGGTATAAACCGGGCCTTGATTAATTTACAGATTTTAGAGGGAATTATGATATTGGTTTTACTGATTCATTCCTAATTATTAGTGTCATGTGAACTTATTTAAAGCGAAGAACAAACAAAAGCAATGAGGTTGAGCTTTCATTAAATGCGGTAGCGGTAAGCGAAGCGTTACTTTCTCACAGAAAGCGATACTATTAAAAAATATATAAAATTATATATAATCCATACTAAAACAAAAAAAACATATAAATAGTCATGATCATATTAGTAGTAGTATTTCTATATATGTAGAATACCACTAACGAGCTCACACATGAGGATATTTCAAAAACTTATGATGACGTAGGTCTGTCTACAAATATTTTAAAATAATTGCAGCTAGTCACTTGGCTGTCACAGATTGAAAAAATATTGTTCGTTAACATCACTGAAAATGGTTACTGAGGAATTCTTGACATAACCCATACTGGAAATAACGTTTTTTGTTTATTAAAATAGAAAAAAAAACAGAGTAATTTCGAGTATGAATGGGACAAAGAAATGGAAAAGTTGAATATGTAAAAGCATGCAAACTTGTTTAAGCCATTTTTCTCAATTACTGAAACCTAAACCAATAGACTCGCTCAATCAATTTTTCTCATGCCAATATTCCTCAATTAGTGAAGCCCAAAAGCATATCAAAAGACTTAGTAAACTCGCTCTAGTAATTTTTCAAACATTTAGGATTTTCCTCAATTGTGACACAAGCTAGACTTCAGAAAAACACTTACAAAAGCAATTTCCTTTGTGAATATAGAACAAAAATAAAAACAGATCAAGAAACAAAAGATCAAGTCAATACGTTGGAAGAAGTCTGCACTTAATAATTATTTACCGAACAAGAATGAAAGATGAATTTCAAAATTCATTTACTAATCGTCTAATCTACCTGGAGCAGAAAAGTCAACCAAGAAGCTTAGCAGAAGACTGCTTTGCAATCCAGAAAGAAGAAGAGAAACCTTTTATGAGATTAAACTAAAGAGTCGCAAGATGCAACCCTAGCAAAAAATAAATAAATAAAATTAAAACTAATTTAATTAACCAGTTAAATGTTCGCTTTTTGTGAGAAGCATACAAAAGCTTCGCTTTTGCGCTAATGCTCTGAACAAAAAAGCGACAGAAAAAGTGGCGGTTTCTCACCCCCGGCCTCTTCATTTATTAACCAGTCAAATGCCCGCTTTTTGTGAGAAGCGTACAAAAGCATCGCTTTTGCGGCTCTGAACAAAAAAAAAACTACGGAAAAAGTGGCACTTTCTCAGCCCCCATCTCTTTGTAAAAGCTACACGCAAAGCCTTTGCTCGCCTGTGCTTTGGCACTTAAGCTCTCCTTTTGTTTCTTTTAACAAGTATGGCGTCACATTAGGTAATAACCATCACCTTACTTTAACAATTTATTTCTTTACAATTTCTCACTTTCAATTTCTAAGGGGTCAAGGATGGATGCAAGCAAGGCCTCGTCATGTTCTGGTCCAATCAGTTTAGGTGTCCAGTTTGAAAAATTTTAACTAGAGTTTGGGTTAACTGGCGTCGGAGTTTGGATCAGTTCAAAGTCTGGTCCTCAACACAATTGGATCGTTCTAAACAGAAGTATTGAGCATTTTTAAAAGAAAAACAAATCAGAATCGCGATCGAAAATCTTTGATTTTGGGCTCATGTATATACTAACTAGAGCAACCTCATCTTTGCACCATTTCTTATTTAGGATAAAATTAGTGTTATCCATGTGTGTAGCCAGCACAGTATATTTTTTGAATTTTGGGTGAGCCTGGAAAATAATCATTCATAAAAAATGTATACACACAGGATAACATTTTACCAAAACTAAACTATTGTAGAAGTATAAAAAAACATCACCCCTCGAGTCCAGAATCTCTCACCCAAACAAGGGGTGAAAAATAGAGCAGGCCAATATACAACTTGGGAGCAGCTTAACAGACATTAGGAGCAGAATCCAGGGAGACACTGATTAATCCCAAGACTTCAATAACAGCAAAAAATGAAGGTAAATTAGTAAATTCTAGCTTTAGTTTCTGCAAGCTATGCATACACATATAAGATCTAAACTCTAAAGTAATGTTTGATGAACTGTAATGTCATTTAATGTAATCAAAATTAGATTACGAATGTATTTGATCAAATTACATTCCGTTTCATGATGGCTAAAATCCAAATCTAATAGCTTTATATTTGTGAATAATGGTTAATACCCTCTATTTGTGTCAACATAATAGTGTATGCATACGCAGTTATGCTCTGCTTTTAAAAAGTTGTGTTTCTCTTTTGGTCTGCCTTAACAACCCTTACTTCTTTCGTTAAATCTTTCAAGGTGTGGTCACATGTCCATCCTGACCCTGTCTCCATCCCTACATCTCTGTCGAATATACTGTTTTAGATGTCACCCTTTTTACTCAATATATTTATTTGTCCAATATTTTTTCATCATTTGCAATGGAGCCAAAGACTGACTATTTTTTGGCTTGGGAATATGATGGAATAAAGCAAAATGACTCACTAAACTGTTTGGGCTTCTTTGTTATGAAGTAGCACTCAATCCATGCAATTTTCGACGCGCTTTTTCACTTTGGGTCATTCGGAAACAATCTTTTTGTGCTTTAGTACAAGGGTAAGACTGCGTACATCTGACCCCCTTACCCCACCGAAGGTGGTGGGAGCCTTTGTGGCACTGGGTGATGATGATGATGATGATTTATTTGTCCAATATTATGCCATGCTCACTTTGATTCAATCATACGAAGTATATTAAATCTTATTAACAAGTAACAGTGACAGTATAATAAAATTGGGCACAAAATTTTGAATGCTAGTCATAAAGATAAGAAACAAACCTCAGCACCAAGAAGCCGCATCCTGAAAACATTTAATGACTGACGCTCCATATCCTGAGCACCCATATAAATAACACACTGCAAGCCAAAGCGAGCACAAACAGTTGCAGTGGCAACACCGTGCTGACCAGCTCCAGTCTCAGCTATGATGCGTTTCTTTCCCAAACGCTTTGCAAGCAATGCTTGAGCAACAGCATTGTTGATTTTGTGTGCTCCAGTGTGGTTCAGATCTTCTCTCTTAAGGTATATGTGTGGCCCTTCACCATTAGGCCGCTTGTAGTGCTCTGTAAGCCGTTCAGCAAAATAAAGGGGGCTTGCTCTCCCAACATAGTCGCACAAGATCCCGTCCAGCTCTTTCTGCGGTTTACCATTTCAATCAGTCAGCATCTTGTAATGCTTTTGATGTTTATTATGAATGCAACGAATGTGATATAAGTTCTTATTTATCAGCATAAAAGGATTCATATTACACTGAAATATATGTGTTTGATCATCAGAGCTTGAGTAATATACTTCATAACTTATTCTTACATTAGATGGTGGGGAAGAAAGTGAATTTGTAAATATAATAGAGAAATACAAGATTTAACTAAAGATATAATTAATTTATCATCTAAGACTAGCAAAAACAGATTGGTTAGAAAAATCATTTCCCCTCCCCTTCAGAAATCCCCCAACCTAATACCAACCCTAAAGTGCTTGAATAAAGTGAACAGAATAAGAATATACTCATTTCTCCGCATATAATCTATGAATAGAAAATAGAGATATATTACAAAATGCAAAACTCATATCCCCTCCCCCTCAGAAATACCCCAAGCTGACAACCCTAAAGCACTTCAATAAAATGAGCAGAATAAGAATATACTCATTTTCCCTCAGCTTAGTGTGTAGGAAGGAAGTAAACAAGAAATCTTCATCTCTATGCCCCTATCTTTCATTCACAAAAACATAAATTTAAGACGGATTTCAATAATCCAAAAGCCAAACACTTCTTTATGTAATATAGACAAGTGGAGAACACTCCGAATTCACAAAACCGATGCACAGAGAAATAACACGTATAATAGAAATTTGATGTAAACACCAAGAGGCAATTACTTAACAAGACAAATGGAATATAAACAAAAAAATAACTTTTAATCACTACAGATTGATTAGCTAAAAAGAGAGCTAAATGCCTGAAAGTCATCATCATTTGAGAGATTGTGGAAGGCGGCCTCGAGCTCATCGAGAGCGTGCATGAGCGTTTCGGGGACATATCTGCCGCCGAACTTGCCAAAGCGACCGAACGAATCGGGGCGTTGAAGAACACCCAAGTCACTGGAAGCCATTGGGTGGTTCACGGTGAGGGTGCAGAAGACTGGACACAGCTTGGCTGAGCGAGGTGTGGATTTGAGGGGTTTCGGGGGCAGGCTTCCCACAGAGGAGGCCGCGAACGGCTTGGGGAGCAATGGGGTTGACGGTTTGCTCGTAGCGTACAACAAAGCCATGTCTGCAAATGCCGTGAGGATATCAACGAAAATAATTTACTTCCTTATTTATATTTATATGAGTTGCATACATATTACTCCGTATTACATAGTCCCTACAATTTTGTTTTTTGTTCGACCTAATAATGGAAACATAATAAATGGCATCTATGTTACTTTGGTTTCAATTCCAAAAAATGGAAACATGATCTCTCTCTTTACTAAGGAGAACAGAAATCTTCAAAATTGAAAAGAGAGAAATCTTCAAATAGGAGTAAAACATAGATAAGGAGAACAGAAATAGAAAACTTGAAAATATCTATATTAGTAAGGAGCTCTGATTTTCTTAGTTTTTTTAAAAAAGTGACCATTTAATAAGTAATTTGCAAAAGATGTCCTTACTAGGATGTTTTTAGTTGAACTGTTTCCAGTCTCAGACAAGACTAGATCAGACCAAATCAGACCTAACTTGGATATTTATAAAGTACAAAGAGATCAGACATTACCAAACCAATTAAGACCATATCAGACCAGATCAACATATTTTAGTCCAAGTAAAAACATTCTTAGCATTATCATTTAACCCTAATTTTTGCATTTCACTTCATTTGTACCTCTCATTCTCTCCTAGCCTCTCTATCGTGAACCGGAGCCACAAAAAACCTCTTCGTTGCCGCCTCTCCTCACCGCTGTCAATTAAAAGTTCAAATTAAAATAGCAATCAAACCATATTATAAATGAAATTTCAAAGAAATTACATTCAAATTAAACGTTATGAAACACTTCTTTATACACAACATTGTCAATTTCATTATTTGTTTCACCCTCATCGTCTACAATGAGAATTATCAACCCTGACGGTTGGTTAGTCGTGACACAACAACATAAAGTTCCCAGTGAGTAAATACCAAATTTTCAACAACGAATCCAAATATACGCCAAGTAGCTTCACACACACATATAGTCATAGTACATTTGTACCTCATAAATTAGATTGTTTTGCAAATCACCAACGGTTTTTGACATTTACTACTATGTTATATTCTGAGCACCATTGTTATTTTCAATATATAAGCTTAAATGTGTCACGCCCCAGACCGCATCCAAGCACGTGTACAACCGCACGTGTACAACCGTCGTGTGATCAAGTGACATCACTCGCAAGTCAATCTCACTAAATCACACAAGGCGTTCATGAACATCGTTCATACCATACTCAGTAAGTAAACATACATAACAACATCACATCATAGATTGAATGAATAGCAGAAAATATTCATTGGTCAATCATAGCCACATATGGCGAAACGTAGGCTCGCAGGCCAAAACAAAGTAATGTTACAAAAGTATCCATGAGCATAGTTTATGATTTTAAACAGTAAAGGAAGCACGAACCACGTCTTCCTCTAGATTCCTTTCACCCGTGCAAAGGTGTAGACAACAAGCTCAAGCTCAAGCTGAAAATGGTGCCCCCCTGAAGGGGTCAATATAAGTACCGAGCGAGTAGCAAGCTAAATGTAGAGTAACTAACGTTTCAAGTATAAGACCCAAACATAGGGTGATACATATGCTTATACATCTTTACCCCAAGTTATAAAATACATATCGGTACTTATATACACTTGGAAATACCCGACCCGTAGGTCATTGTTTATTTGGGAAAAATAATAGTGGTCAATGTTCTTGACTTAAAATCCCAACCCACCCATAGACCTATGAGTGTATAGGACTCCTCCTGTCCAAATCAAATAATCACAAGGATGCTACCCGGTCCTTAATTACTAAACAGTAATCTATGAGTTTTGAGGATACCGCCCGATCCTTGGGTACTCCACCCGACATAACCGAGTTTTGAGGATACCGCCCGATCCTTGAGTACTCCACCCGACATAACCGAGTTTTGAGGATACCGCCCGATCCTTGGGTGCTCCACCCGACACAACCGAGTTTTGAGGATACCGCCCGATCCTTGGGTACTCCACCCGACATAATCGCGTTTTGAGGATACCGCCTAATCATTGGGTACTCCACCCGACATGACCGAGTTTTGAGGATACCGCCAGATCCTTGGGTACTCCACCCGACCTATGATCTACCACATACCACACTAGATAGAGTCTATATCATAATCAATAAACAAGACTAATCCAAGTCTTAAGAACTAAGCAAATTCATCCATGCAACTCATGCATTAAAATCAACATATAGGCAACAAAACCAAACCGGCGTCGGTTGCCCGTAAACAGTCGGTCAACCCTCCGTTGACCCGTTATTTCAAATCCAATACGTGTCAAACCTAGTCACAACTTGCATTTAGTTATGAACAACCATATTATGCACCATTTATCTCTAAACATATCACATATGTTTTTATAAACATTTCCATTTCACAAATCATGCATATTTTGATAGTTCAATTCATACAAGCCTAATTACCTTGGCTAATCACATGTTAATCTCTTTTAAACATCATCATGAACACATATAACATTTACTTAGGTAATCTCATGCTTAACCCAAAAGTTACAAGACATTAAGCCATCCACTCACCTCAAATGAGCTTTAAGAAGTTCTACCCTTCGTAATTGAACTCCGGCGAAACTCCGGCGAAACTCTGGCGAAATCTAGAAACACTTCAGTCAAGCTCCTAACATGGTTTTATCATCACAAAACCTATATCGATCAACACAAATAACCCTTAAAAGGTTATTTTCCGGTGAACCGGTCATTTTGGCTTCTAAGTCCGTTCTTGGACTTAGAACCACCTTCCAACCCCTAATTCTACACTTCTAAATGTGTAGAATGATTCCAAGAGTCCTCCATAGGATATAGAATACGTATGGAAATCAAATGTTGGAAGAAACGTTATTAAAGAACTTCTCACCTTTATTTTCCAAGTTTTCCTCTACTTTTGCTACTTCCTTTTCCTCCTTGAGTTTCTCGTTGTTTGAGCTTGCTTTGGCTATGGAGAATGAAGTTGCAGAGCTTCCTCTCTCTTTTCCCTTGGTGCTGGTGGAAGTTTAGGTGAGGAAAGGAGGGGTGGGCTTCCCTTTTGTCTCTTCGAGCAATGAGTGAAAGAAAAGGGGTCCACCTCCATTTAATTTAGGTGCCCCCTCATCTCAATCACTCCCCCCATAACGCAGCCTCCCTTGTCATACTTGAGCACAAAAACGTGGGGTGGCCCCCACTCATGTGGGAGGTCATCCCTTTGTGCCCCGATTTGGACAATCGGTCCCAAAAGTTGTATTTTTCGGACTGTTTTAATTATATTTTATTTTATCGGGTCAAATAAAATATATAAGGTGTTTACCATCATTATGGACTCCTAGAATGAATATACATTCCTGATCTTTAATTTAGAAGTCTATGAAATCCGTTTCGGTCTGTTATCTGATAAATTACCGATACCGGTAATTGGGTCTCATTTGATCGACGGGTCAACCCTATGCCCTTTCTATGGCCCAACTAAAATATCCTCCACCATATACATATTATCTAGACCAAGATGAATATAATATGTGGTCCCGGGATTAATGGGTGGTCCCCGCTCCCGATGCGGGCCCCGCGTGCAATTTACTTTTCACGCAAAAGTAATAACAAAATTTTTACAACCTCGTAAATTCATAAATCATTATTCAAGGTTTATTACATGGTTTATTACTTGGGGGCGGTGTTACAAGTTCACCCCCTCTTATTTGGAATTTCGTCCCCGAAATCACGCGTCTAATAGAAAAGAAACGAGTATTGCTCCCTCATTGAGACCTCGGTCTCCCAGGTTTCTTCTTTGACTCGATCACTCCTCCAAAGCACCTTCACCATAGGAATCTCCTTGTTCCTAAGCTTCTTAACCTGCTAGCCCACTATTCCCACCGGTTCCACTGCATATTGTAAGTCCTCTCGGATCTCTACCGGTGGTCTCTCAAGAATAAGTGACGGATCACGTACATACTTCTTGAGCATGGATACGTGAAATACGTCATGTATCTTCTCAAGTTCAGGGGTCAATTTGAGCCGATAAGCCACGGCTCTAATCCTTTCAAGGATTTCAAACGGGCCAATGTATCGGGGGTTAAGCTTACCCCTTGATATGAATGAGATGATACCTTTCCAAGGGGAAATTCTTAGAAACCTTATCACCAACTGCAAATTCTAACGGTCTACGCCGTTTATCGGCATAGCTCTTCTGCCGATCTTGGGCAGCCTTAAGCCTATCCTGAATGACCTTCACCTTAGCCTTGGTCATGATTTCAACAAGTTCTATGCCCTCGAGTTTGGCCTCACCAACCTCGTCCCAGCACAATGGTGACCTGCATTTCCTCCCATACAATGCCTCGTATGGAGGCATGCCAATACTCGCCTGATAACTGTTGTTATAGGCAAACTCTACCAGAGCCAAATGCTTGTCCCAACTTCCTTGGAACTCCAGAGCACATGCCCTAAGCATATCCTCCAAAATCTGTATCACCCGCTCGGACTGTCCATTCGTCTGTGGGTGAAAAGATGTGCTAAACTTCAGTTTGGTTCCCAATGATGCTTGAAACTTTGTCCAAAATCTGGACGTAAATCGTGGGTCCCTATCCGAGACAATGGATATTGGAACCCCATGCAACCTCACAATCTCTTCCGTGTATAACTTGGCCAAACGTTCAAGAGGACAGGTGATGTTGATGGCCAAGAAGTGTGCACTTTTGGTAAGCCTATCAACCACCACCCACATTGCATCGTAATTGTTCACCGTCCGTGGTAACCCTACCACAAAGTCCATGGTCACATGTTCTCACTTCCATTCTGGAATGGTAAGTGGTTGCAAAAGTCCCACCGGGTGCTGATGCTCCGCCTTATCTTGTTAACAAGTAAGGCATCATCTCACATACTCCGCGATGTCCCTCTTCATACCAGACCATCAATAACTTTCCTTCAGGTCTCGGTACATCTTTGTACCTCCTGGATGCATAGCATAGGCTGAAGAATGAGCCTCCTCAAGTATGGATTTCCGGAGCTCCTCATTCTGTGGTATGCATACACGATCTTTGAAAAATAAAAGGCCATCATCACGTACCCAAAAATTCTCAACGGGCCCCGCAAGGATACGTTCGCGGATCTTCTGACATTCTTCATCAATGCCCTGACCTCT